TGGGTCGGGACCAAGAGCCAAGGCAGTGAGTGGTGCCCGCTGACGTAGCTCTCGCTCCCAGCTGGCCATCGGCCATGGACTGGCGGCCCCCTCCCTCCTCACCCACCCCCAACAGAACATCAGAACAGGGGCAAGCCAAAGGGTGACCAGGTGGGCGGGGTTTACCTGCAGCCAGAGAAGACAGGATGAGGGGCTGGGAGGGAACATGTACTCACTTTGGCCCCTTTGAGATCTCCCCCCACCCATGTAGGGCTTCCTAGGGACACTTGAGGTGTAGCCTGAGACACGGGCGAGTCTGGAGTGGGACCCAGGAATGCCATGCCTCCCCCCATTGAGCCACCACCAATCAGGGACTGCTGGTTATACCTGCACAGGTGCTGTGTGCTCCCCTCTGCCCCCACCGCCAGCCCTGTGGGCCGCCTGCCCCTGGGGAGCCCCAGCCTCTGCCGCCCCCACCTCCCGCTCTGAGCTCGGGTCCGCGCTGTACCGCACAGCCGCCGCCGGCCGCCTGTGGCCACGCGCACTAGAAATGGGGGCGTCCGAATCGAGCAGTGCTGTAGGTACAAAATATACACTGGGTGTTGAAGACAGTGAGAAAAAAAGGAAGCAAAATATCACACAAATCTTCTTATATTGATGACATGTTGAAAAAATGGTATTTTAGATACACCAAGTTAAATGAAATGTACTCCTAAAATTAACTTCACCTGTTTCTTTTTACGTTTCTCAATGGTGGCTCCTAGAGAATTTTAAATAGCCCACGCACCCCTCATTTTGTTTCTTTCGGGACTCCAGAGGAAAGACCCAGGCCCCCTCCCCTGCAGGGGCTGCGCCCCAGAGAGGCTTGCTAATAGGCGTGTGCCGTCTGGGACGGGCGCTGAGGAGCAGAGAAGGTGGAGGCAGGGTGCGCCTCCCACCAGGAGCGATCGGAGCACCCCTGGAAGGAGGGGCCCCAGTCAGCGGGTCTCTGAGCCTCAGACAGCAGTGGCAGATTCCGGGAGGCCATTGCCATGTCCCCCGCAGCCTCTCCACAAGCCTGGAGGGTCCTACCCAGCCCCGGCCCCGCCCCATCTGCCCTCCCTCCCACCCCTCCACCGCCCACCCGCCCAGCCCTGCCTGCCCCCCTGGGCCCCCACACCCCTCCCCCAACAGCACAGTGGCTTCCCGGTGCCAGCACACGAAGTCCAGGCACCTTGGTCCTGTGGACAGGTCTCCGCCCGCCCTGCCACTCACCCTCCCCCCACGGGCCCCGCTGCCCCGTTCTGCCAGTCGGTGGCCACACAGCCCCCGTGTCCTCACCTCCGGGCCTTTGCTCCTCTGTTCCCTCAGGCTAGAATGTCCCCTCCCTTCCTAGTGCCTCCCTCCCTCTTGTCTACATGACACAATCCCAGAATTTTCAGAGCGCCACCTCAGTCCCTCCCCCACAGGGCACCCGTCCCGGTCGACTCCGGCTCTGGACACTGGGGCTGAGAAGACACAGGGTCTGGGGGGGCTCTAGGCCGAGGGACTGCTTCCCACCCCTGCCCTCCTGTCCTGGGGCAGGCGGCGCCAGGCTATGCCTCTGAGGTGGCTTGTGTCATTGTGCCCTGGCAGGTATTTGCCCCCCTCCGTGGGGCCCCAACCCCACAGTGCACTGTTGTCTCAGAGACCTCCGTCCGCCCACCTGTGGCCCATGCCTCTGACAAATGCACTGAGTTAACGCATCATGAACACATAGACGGCTTAAGTGGACCGGGCGGGGGTGGGGGTGGCAATGGTCAGTCCTCCGGGACACTCAGCATCACCTTGACCGGCCTGGGCACCTCCTTGCGCTTAGGACTCTCCGCCCTCTCCGCCCGCCCCGCGCCCGCGGCCCCAAGCTCGGGCGGGCTCCGGAGCGCGTGCCTGCGCGCACCCTCACGCACACGCCCGGCACCGGCGGCCGGCTCCGCCGGGCCCGGAGCCCACCCGCTGCGCTGCTTCCGGGGGCGGAGGCAGGGCGACTGCTCGAGGGGCCGCCGCCTTCCTGGGGAGCGGCCCCTGCTTTGCCGTCGGGTTTCCCTCCCTGGGCCCGCCCCCCGACCCTTTGCCGCGCCGAAGCCCGAACGCGGGCGTCAGAGGAGAAGGCAGCCCGTGCATCTCGCGCCCTCCGGGTCGCGCATGGGGTCTTCCTCCTCCAAGACCCACTCCCCGCCTCGCAGCCGCGTCTGCGGGCCCCCTTCCTTCGGCAGGAATCTCTTACACTCGGGCTGTGAAGTTCGGGGTATTTTTAGGCCGGCGATAAATAATTCACAGGGAACGTGGCATCAGGCTCCCCCCTCCACGGGAGAAGGGGGCGCGAGTGGCGAGAGCCACCATCACCCGCGGCTCAAGGACACTCGCGATGCGGCGGCCGCGGCGGTGACTCCCCGCGCGGGGACCGGCGCCACGCCTCCTGGTGGCCAAACAGGGCACCACGCGTTCGTGCCCCGCAACGAGCCGCCACTGCTGGCGCCCCCGGCTCCTAGGCCCCCACTCCCACCCCGTCAAGCTGACTCGCCGCCCCGCGTCCCGCGGATGCGGGGGAGGGGCAGAGCCCAGCGGGCAAGCGGGGTTGTGGGCGGGGTCCAGCCCAGGCCTGTGCTACGGCCTGGGGTGAACCCAGGAGTCCAGTTGGCGGCCTTTCCGCCCCCTTCGCTTTGCTATTCAAGTCCTTAGAACGGGGTTTATGAACAGAGGTGAAACCGACTGGCTTAGCCAGAAGCTAGACGCGCTCTGAGACATCGCATACCAGCCCAAAATGAGCTCGTTCCCTCGATGTCCCTGCGGCCCCACGCTGGGGACACAGCCAAGGTGGTGCCACCATCAGAGGGCTGGCGGGGGGCGGGGGGGGGGGCGCCAGAAGTCCCATCAGGCTAGCAGGGCTGGGAGCCAGGGCGGGCCAATTGCTTCGCTCGCTCGGCAGGACCTCTCTTTTGGGTGGCTCTCCGGACTCACCTAGGGGCTCTTTTGAACGCTAGATGCCTTTGCCTTCTCGTGTCCTGGCCCTGCCGGCCCAGGACAAGGCGCGATCCACCTTCCCCGGCAGGCTCGGGGTTCCCTTTCCTGCCGTCGGGGATCAGGTCGAAGCCCTGGAGACCAGAGCAACCTGCTGGCGCGGCAGCCAGAGCCCAGCGCCCTGGGGCTCCCGGCGCCCCCGGGGCCTCTCGGCCCTCCCTTGCTTTCTTGTCCTCGGAGCCTGGCTCCGCTGGGCGCAGGGTCAGCATTTGGGATGATCCCACCACCCCGTGAAACCCACGCAGATTCCCGGGGGTCAGAGGAGGGAGCTCCCGCCCGCCTGGGAGAGGCAGGGGGCGGACTGGGAGGGGCGGGTCTGGGGGGCTCACAGCGGGCGAAGGGGGGATGTGAAGGCAGACGTGCTGTAGCTGCTCAGCGGACCGCGGGAGCCAGGGGACGGGCTCCTGGAGTCACTCACAGCCCCCTTCGTCCTCCCTGCTTCTGCCCGCTCCAGCCCGCTTCGCTCCGGCCGAACCCGGCCGTGGCGCCAGCTCCCGGCTCCGCTCCCCGCCCCAGCGTCTTCCGGCAGCAACAGTTGGGGGGTCCCGCCGCCTGGGCTCCCCCGTCCCGGCACCGCCCCATCCCCCGCGCTGTCGCAGTGCCAGGCGGAGGAGCTGGCGGGCTCCATGACCGGGGAGACGAACGTCTTGGGCGCCTCGCCCGCGACCTTCCCTCGCACCCGCCGCGCACCTGTCACCGCGGCCTCTCCTCCTCGCTTCCTCTCCTCCCGTCCGGGTCCAAACCCCAGGCCTGGTCCCCGCGGGTCCGGGCCCCCGACAGGCACTCCTCGGGCGCCCTACGCCAGCCCAACTCCCCCTGTGTGTCCCGCCGCTCTCTCTGCCGCCCTTGTCCCCCTGGCGCCCGAGCCAGCCCCAAGTTGGCGAAGTTCGCGCTCCCGGTTTGCCGCCTGCCACTCACCGGGGGAAGGGGCGCTGCGCCGATGCTCAGAGCCCGCACCCGCCGCCTCCCGCGAGGTGCACGTCCTGGCGCCTCGGCTCCGCGCGCCGGCGCGCGCTGTCCGAGCTCGGCGGGCGCCGGAGCCCAGGCGCGCGGGCCGGTGCCCGTGGTGCGGCCTGGCCGGCTGGGCCGGCCGCCCCCGCGCGCCTCCCGCTCTCCCGGTCCCGGCTGGGCTGCGCGCCGCGCCTCCGGCTCCTGGGGCTCGCCAGCTGGCTGTGGCGGAGCGCTCGCCGCTGCCCGCGCAGCCCGTCCCACCGGGGCCGGCGCCTCACCCTGCCTCGGCCCGAGCCGCGGCCCAACCGCCCGCCCCACAGCCCGCACCCCTCCACCCCCTCCTCACCGCCCGCGCGCGCGTCTGCATCGCCTGGGTGCATCTCGCGTCTCCAGGACTGTGTCCCCAGCTTGGCACTCGGGGCCACGGTGGCCTCGGAGGAAACAGCGCGGGCCCCGTGCCCTGGGTCTGAGCCCGCCGCTCACTAGCTGGGCGACCCAGGGCCACTGAACGCCAAGGATCCCTCAGCCTGTCGAGTGGGGCCAGTGTCTGGGGACTGACATTGAAACAGTGAACGTGCCTTGTAAACCGCAAAGCGCCATGGAGATTTTCGTGGTGTTGGCATGTGGACCCGGCTGGAGACCGATAAGGCAGAGAAGGCACTGGAATCAGAGCGGGGCACCCGCACGAGACACGTGGGGCCACTGGAAGGGACTAGGGACAAGCTGCTGACCAGTGCCTTCACTCCCCCTTTTTCTTGTTTTAGTTGTACCAGGGGCTAACCAGAGCAGGCAGGCCGGGGTCCCAGGGTGCCTGCGGCGTGGGCAGAAGGCAGACAGGCCGCAGCAACAGGGCCAAGGAGAGGAAGGAAGGGCCCGCGCCAGGACCGGCTACCAAAGCCACCTCCAGCCCCCTGGGCTCCTGAGCAGGGGAGCCGGCTCTGAAGCGCCACCTGGCGGCTGGAGGGGAGCTGCAGCTGGAAGGTGACCCCAGGCCCCAGAAGAAATCACAGGCACATCAACCATCGGCGCTCCGTTGCAGCAGTTTTATTTTCAGCATATTCTGGACCCGGTGACCCTCCAGAGTCCAGCAGAAGTGAGAGGGAGGAAGGTCAGCCTGCACCTCCGCCCATCCCTAACTGGGGTCATCTGCTTGCTGAGAGTTAAGCCCACACTGGCAAAGGCAACCTTCTGGCAGGAGGTAGTGCTCACTGGTCCCTGAAAGAGGCAGCCAGGGCGCCGTGCCAGGGCGGGCCGGGGAAGCAGCTGTGGTACAGAGTCCGCCCAGGCTGGCCCGGGCCCCGTCCTGTCCTCCGTACAGCACTCTCCCTCCCTGCCACGCTGGGGTCTGGGCTCAGCGCCCCAGCAGCCGCAGCATCTCCTGAGGATCCAGCAGCTTCTCCCTGGGCTTCCCAACACCCTGGCCCCGGGACACCTCCTCAGCATCCAGCTTCTCCCAGTCCGAGAAAGAGACGGGCCGGACCCCTGAGGCGGAGGGAAGACGAGTCACTGCCCCAGCTCCTGCTCCGTCCCAGCCCAGGGCTCACCCTCCCAGTGGGAAGGCCCCTGCCCCCAGGAGCTCACGAGAGGCCCAGACCTCGGCTGCGGAGCAGGGCCTCGATGGCCGCATAGCCAGGTCTGGGGCCAGGCGGCAGCCGCCCGGCCTCCAGGTCCTGCAGCACCATCTGGCTGGTGAGGAAGCTGTCGGTCATGGTAGTGCCGATGACCCCTGTGGGCCCCCGCTTTACCCAGCCGCTGCAGTAGAGGCCTGGCGGGGGGTAATGGAGGGGTTAGTGAAGGGCTGGCCTGAGCATCCAGTACGTACACACATGCACGAGCGTCCGTGCGTCCCAAGTCCTCCCAGCAGCGCCCTCCGCGGGGCCCACTGTGGCCACCGGCCCACCTCCCAGATTCTGCTCGCCCCGCTTTTACCATACCCTCCCCCCTTACACCTCAGTTTGCCTGCAGACCAGGAGCTTCCCGAGGGAAGGAGCCGGGCCTTGCCGGCCTGAGGTTTCCGCAGGCCCCTCTAAACATTCACAGAAGGAGCAGTCAGGGGTGTGGGTATTTGATCAGACTGGAGGCCCCCTGAGCGCCCAGCCTGCCCTTTAATCTCCAGACACTGCACGGAGCACAGGGCCTGGCCCAGAACCGGCCCCCCTCAGCAAATGGAACGATGTAATAACCACTCAGAGGCAGACATAATCTTAGCTAGACTGGGAACTTCCCCGGCAGCCAGGAGGAGGGCAGGGCTGGGTCCCAGGGCCCGGCCCAGGGCAGTTTCTCAGGCGTGATGCTAAGGGAATGGAGGAATGTGAATGGCCCCAGGAGACACCAGCCTCCCTGTCCCCCCAGAGTCTGGTGCCTAACCTTCTTGCATCCCCTCACCTGGCACATCCACAACCCGGCCCTCCATATTGGGGATGACACCAAGTTTCAGGTCAAAGGGCACACTGGGGTCAATGGGGCGGCTCTTATACCCAACACTGCTCAGCACCAGGCCACAAGGGAGGTCCTCTGTGTCTCCAGTGGGTACTGCCCGGGCGGTCTCACCGACTCCCTGTGGGGAGAGTGTGGGCAACACCCGGCTGAGGCAAGGAGACTTGGGAACAGGGGTGTCTTTGGGTGACAGGAGACTCACCTCCAGCCTGGTGACCGCCAGGCGGATGCCTGCCGCCCGCCGCCCGTCTGGTGAGGGCAGCACCTTCTGGGGGCTTCGGAAAAAACGGAGACCCCAGGCTCGGGAGGCCAGTGCCTGGCGGGCAGCCTCCTCCTGCCCTGGCTTCTCCCGGGCTGTTCGGAGCAGCAGTTCCGTCAGCCGCTTCCTGGGGCGGGGCACCTCTGTCAGCAACACAGAACCTCTCAGGGCTGTCCCTGGGTGACAGCCCTCGCCCCAAGCCCTCTCTAACCTAGACCACCCCTCCCCAGTGAGCTGGGAGCCAGGCCAGGGCCCCTCACCCTGGATTCTGTCCTGGAGGCCCAAGAAATCCGCAGGATCCAAAATGGGCCGGGTTCCTGGTAACTGAATCATCTCCCGAAGCTCCTTGGGGGTGGGGGTGGGGGAGGAGGTCAGGCGCAGAGCACTGTGGCCTCCTGGGCCCACCCCAGAGCGCAGGCCAGGCAGGGGCCGCTGCCGCCACCAGGGAAGGTGCTGGGCCCCGTCTGGCTCCCCCCTCCCACCGCAGCAGCGGCATCCCCGGGGCTCTGCCCTGCCCCACCTCCGGAGGGAAGACCACCTACTTAGGACCCCAGCCCCTCTCCCTCCCGCCTTAGCACCTTTATGGTGAAGGCCACCTGCAGGGGTCCACGTCGGCCCACTATCCACACCATCTTCACCCGACTCTGCCTCAGCGCCCTCAGGGAAGTCTCTGTGATGTCCGTTTTCTGGCACAAAAAAGGACCTTAAAGTCATCCTACACGAAGCCTCTCCACCGGGTCACGTCCCTACCCTGAGCCTGGGAAGGTTGACAGCCGGAATGTGCATCACTGCCCCCCCTGGTGGCCATTTGGAGCACAGCCGCCAATTCTGCGAATGGCAATGGAGAGGCAAGCCAGGCCCATGCTCTTGGACTCAACAAGTGTTTACCCTGCGCAGGGCACCAGGCAAGGGGCTCGGAGAGAAGGGTGTTAACGGTGCGCAGAAGAGACACGGCGCCAGCCCCCCCAGAGCTTCTGATCTTGTGGAGTGAGAGATACTTGTCAAATACTCATCAATAAACGTAAAGTCAAAGTGGTCACGCTGTGCTTTGAAAGAGTAGTCTATGAGAGGAAGGGATAAGGCTTCCTGGAGGAAGGGACCGTTGAGCTAAGAACCAAAAGTTTAACTGGCACGAGGTGAGCTCAGTGTTCCAAGCAGCGTTCTGTAGTCCACAGAAAACTTTTCTTTTCTTTTCTTTTTTTTTAAGGCCATGCAGCTAAAGTGCCAAAAGCGAAGGAGAAACTGCCCGAGATGAAGCTCCCGGGCTGCCTTTCCGACGCGCTCTGCCTGACACCAAGGGGAAACAGAGGCACGGAGCTCAGCCGGCAGGGACGAGTCCTGAGGCCTGCGACAGGGCACCCTCTCCTCAGCGTGACCTCCCCGCCGCCCCTCCTGCCCATGCGCCACCCGCTCACCTCCAGGTGCTCCGGGGGGGTCAGCAGGATCCGGGCCACATCCAGAGCCACGTTCCCCTGGCCCAGAACCACCGCTGTGTCACAGCTCAGGTCCGGCGCCAGCTGCAGGGGAGAGGTGTGGATGGGGTGCCCCTCGCCTTGTCAGGCTACAGGCCCCAGCCCTCGGGCATTTCTGAGCCTCAGCCCGGCCCCACCCGTCTCTCCCCAGGGGCCTTCTGCAATTGACCCCCCACCTCCCCAGCCTGATGTCTCAGATCTCATCTCACCGAGTCCAAGTCCTGGAGGCGGCGCCTTCTCCCCCGGGGCTCTGGCATCTAAGGGTTCCCCAGCCCTGGCTGAGGGGTGGGGAGGAAGAGGCAGTGGGAGTGCACCCCAAACTCACCTCCTGGTTCTCAGGAAGCCCATTGTACCAGCCCACAAAGGCCCGGGCTGAGAACACACCGGGCAGCTCCTCCCCAGGAATTTCCAGAGTCTGATGGTCCTCTGCTCCGTAGCTCTGAGGAAAGACCCAGAGCGCTTAGCACCTGCTAAGAGGCCAGACAGCCGCCCACAGCCTCCGGGGGCCCAAGCCAGCTTCTCCTTCCCAGCTTCCCCCCTGGCCCACGCCTGCGGTTTGGCCTCACTCCTGGGCCTTCCATCCCTCAGCCTCCACTTCCTGCTGCCGCCCTGCCCCAGTCCCCTTCCCGCCCCCGCCCACAGTGGCACTCACCAGCACCACGGCGTGGTATGCTTCCCGCAGCTCTGGCACCGTCACGTCTCTGCCCACGACCACGTTGCCGTGGAAGGCACAGCGGTCCGAGCGTGCCGTCTGGGTAAAGGTGTTGATGACATTCTGCCGGGCCCAGAGTGGGAGGGGTGAGAGGACAGGCCAGCTCCAAGGGCCATGCTTGTGCCATGCTCACCCCACAATGTCCCCAGGATGGAACCTGGGTGGCATCTGCAGGGTCTGAGGTCATTCCATGTGGCCAGAGAGCCCCCCTTTCCTCCTCACCTACATCCAAGTCTCCAAACCTCCCCTCTGTGCCGAGAGACCTACCTTCACCTCGGGGTGATCAGGTGCCACGCCGAAGCGCACCAGGCCGAAGGGCACGAGCTGCTTCTCATAGATGTCCACGTGGGCCCGGGCGTGGTGCTGGGGAGGAAGGCGGCAGACCGTGGGGCCGAGGGCGGGGCCCCAGCAACCCTTCTAGAAATGCCCCGTCAGGCTGATGACCTGAGATTCACCCTGCCTTAGCGCTAGTCTCCAAGACCATCCTGTTGGAAAGGGGACCAAGCCGGACAGGGAGCTGGGAGCACAGCTGGGGCATGGGGAGGGCAGGGGGATACAAGAGCGGCCCTACTCTTAGTCTTAGAAAAAACAGCCTCACTCACACACGGGTTCTGGCGCACCTAGCAGGGCCGTGGGAAAGGTACAGGGCCGGAGGTCAGGCACCAGCCAGCACGTGACCGGTAAGTCCCAGGATCTGCCTCTTTGTGAACTGAGATGGGGAACACTCCCTGTCGGGGTGCCTAGGAAGCATCCTGGGGGTCAGGGCCGGGAGAAACCCTCTGGGCCATCAGCAGGTTCGGAGTCAAGCAGCATTCAATGACACATCGCCCTGCCTCGCGTCCCCACCCTGGCTATTGCTGTGACGCTCCCGACTCACTGGGACTCCGAGGAAATGAGCCTCATCTCAACAAAGGCTCCTGCTCACCTCCTCGCCTGTGTCCACAGCCCCGTTCCCCCCACCCCACTGCTTGCCCCGAGGCCAGCCCCAGCCCCACCCGCCCCTCCCTGTCTTCTGACTCTCCCCACCCGTGCCTGTCGCTGGTGGCGCCAGACCCCCCTCCTTCAGACCCCACTGATGGGGGGCCCAGGTAGAGCTCCAGCTTTGGAGTCAGCAGCCACGGGGACCCCACTGCTCTCTGGCGCTCTAACGCCTCTGTACCATAGAACATCCCTTCTGGCATGACGCTCCGGATTAAATGAGCAAAGTTTGAAGCACTTAGCCCAGGGCTTGATGCACGGTCCGTGTGCAGCCCACCAAAGCTATCATTACTATTACTGTTGTTGCGGGTCACTGTCTTGCTCATGAGCCTTCCCAGGCTGCCCCCCCCCCCGCACCCCCCGCCCGCCCAGGACAAAGTTCAAACTGCTCAGCCTGGAGGACAACACCTTACACAATCCGACTTTATCTCCCACTCTTTCCTGCTGTGGGTTCTTCCCTCCAGGTCACGCTGCTCTCTCCAAGGCCGCCTCCAAAGAGCTGAATCTGCCAGGACGACTGGTTACTTCTGTTATCTCGCACGGCAGTCTCCTCCCGGGGGCCTCTCCTCCCTGACCCTGCGGTCCCCTCCTGTCCCTCCAGCTGCTCTTTCTCAAGCACCTTTTCCTCTGTCCTCCTTCTAACGGAAACATTCTCTGGGGTCCTTCCAATCTGGGGCCCCACCCTCTCCCCAGGCACACGTCTCCATCCACTTATTAAGACGTGCATTTTAAGAAGTACCCCAGGGGACTGTGATGGAGGGAGATGGGTGGACAGCCTGGTTGGTGGCTTCCATACCCCAGGATCTGGGCCCACGCACCTCCTCAGGCCACAGCCCTCAGCTCTCCACCCTCGCTGCACACGCCTGCCTTCCGGAACTCACTACATCCCCAGGGGCCATTCGCTCGGGGCCTTTGTCCATGCAGCTTCTGTGCCTGGGACTGTCCTGCCTTCTACCTGCCCACCACCCGGCGGCAGCAGGCGGTCCTTCAGACAGCAACCGGGCCGCCCCTCCCTGCGCAGCCCCTCACCCTGGTTTCCCGTAGGCCCCCTTCCCCTCCGCTCCGCAATCCCCACATCAGATTGTCAGGTCCTTGAGCGTGGGGACCATGTCTGCGCTGCTCATGCCCATGTTCCCAGGGCCGACCCTGTGCCTGGAACATGTCGGCGTCCAGTAATTGACTACAGAACCGGCCAGCATGGTGCTCCATTAAGAGCGGGCGCTGCCGGCAGAACGCCCGTGCTCAGACCCCAGCACCTCGTGCCCAGACGGGACCCCGGGCAACGCACCTGGCCTCTGCGTCCTCACTTGTGAAGTGAGAGTCATGACACCTGCTTCTTGAGGATGCGAAGCGATGCTGTACAGACAGTGCCTGGCTCCGCTAAGTGCCACGGCCCCCGCGTGCCATGCACGTTCCTGCCGCCAGAGCACCGCCAGGAGTTCGGAGCTCCCCGCTTGTAACTGGCCTCTGGGTCTGTCCCCCAGCAACTCCCACAGGGAAAGAGTGTGCAATGTGCAGGCCAGAGCCTTTGCTCCCATTGGAGGCACCAACGATCCTGCCTGGAAGGCCCAGTCTCCCCACTCCCCTAAATTCAGGCTCAGCTAACACAGTGTTCCATACGCAAAGCCCTCCAGGGCCTCCCCAGCCCCTACAATATCCCTGGTCTCTGTCCCGGAGCCCAGGGTTGTCCGACTCCATGGCAGCCCGCCTGGGGTGACTCCCCGCACATGGGAGGCCCTCAGCAGAGCCCTGGGCCTCTTTCAATGCCATCAAATGCACCTTCCCCAGGAGACACTTTCTGACCAACCCCTCCAAAGTTGGCTTATATTGGTCATATCATCGCAATTAGCTCTTCCACCTGGGTTGTCTGGACGGCGTGCTTAGGTCACTTTTCAGCGGGGGCACCAACTCATCTCAGTCTCCCCAAGGCGCTCCCAGTTTTAACATTGAAAGCCCCATGTCCTGGGAAAACTGGGCCAGTTGGTCACAATACCTTTTAAGTATCTGCAAATATGTGTGTATCATATATTTAGCCTTTCTCCTGTCTCTTCACAGACACTCCAAGTCCCTCCAAAGCAAGGCCACTGTCCCATGTCTTAGTCAGCCTAGGCCCCCCTTGTCTCCTCCCCCACCATGGTTCTCCCTCCCTCCCATCAAGGTCCAATGTCTGGCCAAGTCTCAAAAGTAGTTAGTAACTTTGGGGCCTTGCTCACCAAGGCCAACACCAAGGCCAAGCCTTTGAGACATGGGCCTTTGGGGGTTGGAGAGCTTGGAGAGCAAGCTGGAAAAACAGCACGGCAGAAGGAGGAATGGGGCTGTCGGTGAGGAGAGCACAGTGGGGTGGATAAAGTTACAGAAAACCCTGAGAAGAGGGGCTAGAGCCTCGAGATACAGGACGCTGGGGACAGAGTGGAGACAGAGGAGAAAGAAGGGAAGATGAGGGGCAGGATAAGGTCACCCTGCAGGTCTGCAGAAGCCCCCTGAAGGGCTTGGCCAAGGAGGCATCGCCGACCCCCTGCCACTGACCCCTGACCACCGCCCATGAGGCAGACACACTTGTCTCACAGCTGAGGACCTACAATGGAGAGCCCCAGGTGTAGGTGGCAAAGCATGTAGAGACTGTCCAGTCTAGTTAGGCTGGGAGCCCCTTCACCATCAGGGATCCAGGAGTGGATGGGGCTCACCCTTCCGGCTGGAGCAGCAAGGTGAGGGAATCGTCGGCAAGGGAGCCAGGAGGGCATGGCTTACCTTTAGCAGGTGCTGGGCAGTGTAGAAGCCGGCTGGGCCGCTGCCTACCACACAGACCTGGGGGGTCTGCTCCTGTGTGGAGAACCGCAGGTGGGAGCCTAGGGATGGGGGAAGGCGAGAGGGGTCAGAACAACACTCCCACCCCAATTTCAAACCGGCTTCAGTGTCAAGCACAGGAGGGAGCTTCTTAAGCTTCGCCTTCCTATTTTTTGCCAAACCTTTGGCATTTACAGGGCTCCCTCTCTCATCTGAATCTCAGAGGCTGTGAGTTCATTCAGAACCCCACATTTCACACGTGAACTACGTCGCAGACGATGATCTACTCAACAACGCCCACCCCACCCCCCGCCGAAGTTGCCCTGCACAGTATTTCATTTTCTTATGCAGTTCCCTACCCACGCAGCTAGAATACCATGTCCTTCTGATGGACCCTGTACTATCCCCATCTCACCTCGTGGATCTTCCCATAATGCTCCCATTCACTACCTCTTTAGACTGTCTCTCCATAGAGCCCTATAGACCCGTCTCATTCCTATAGACCCCTGTTTCACCTCAGACTTCTCTCGTGCTCTACAGACAGACCTCCCTATGGCCCTCATTCACCTCTTCCCCACCTGTGGACATTATGGTCCCCCCTTCTCGCCCTAGGGCACCTTATCCCTGTACACCTTGGGCCCCAATCTGCCCCCGTACACCACCCCATCTCATCCGTGTGAGTGGACCCTCCAGCTCCGTCCCTGCTGGGCTCCAACCTCTCTACTTAGCGCTCGCAGGCCTTCCCGCGCTCCCATCCAGCCCAAGGGGTGCCCAGCTCCTACTCGGGGTGCTCCCGGCGGGAGGCGGCCGGATCCGAGGCCACGCCGACCAGTGCCACCAGCGCCAGCAGCGTGGAGCCATGGCTGGGACAGATCTCAGGATCCAGCCAGCGGCTCTGACACCGAGGACTGCCCAGTGCTCCGCACACAGTGCCAGCTCCGACCGGGTCCCTCCCTGACCCCGCCCACAGTCGCGGCCCCGCCCCAACCCCCGCCTCTCACGCTCCGGAACTGCACAGTGTGGCTGCTCCACCCCCGACGCTCGAAAGGATCCCGCCCCCAAAAGAGAAGCCCGCCCTTGGATCCACCCCCTTCTGCTGAAGGCCCGCCCCCAGGACTTCCGATCCCTAAGAGACTTGCTGTATTTGTCCCCAATCTTTCCCCGCCCTCTAGTTAGCGGAAGTCTAGAGTTACAGGAGAGCAAATCCTCAACGCTGTTTCAATCTCGTTTGCAGAAAGAACCAATTAGAGAGGAGTTTACTTAGCCTCCTGTCGCTGTCTGATGACGCAAGCACCTTACCCTTTTGATACATAGTCTGCCTAGGCTGCCAGCCAATCACCAGTGAGTTCAAGCAGCCTGGCAAGTCCGAAAAATGGGATTCCGCCTAGAACTTGGAGGCTCTTTTCACCCACCAGGGTGCTGTACAGGCGTGACCCCAGCCAGATGCTCCCGCAAGAAATGTCCAAACCAGTAGAGAATTTTTATAAACATTTATTTGAGCCAAAACTGATGACAGCTGCGAGGAAGCAAGATTTCGATGCTCCTGAAAAGTGCTGGATAATAAGTTTTGCAGTTTCTTTCCTGCGTTTGAAATTAAAGAGGGAGCATAAGGACGATTACATGAAGGTAGGAGAAAGCAAGGCAGGGACTGACTACAGAGTAGTTAAGGAGATTATGTGCTCTCTTGTGGGTGAGCGCTGCTCAGAGAGTTATTTCGGCATTTCAAAGAGGTGTTCATTTAGATCCACAAGAACAATGGACATGACTTGCTTAAAACCTTTTACTAAAGAAGTTATAGGCCTGGGGCATGACGACCCACCAAGACCTGCCCATTTAGGAATTTTTGATCAGCTCACCCTGTGAGGTTACTTCCTGTAGAACCCCTTTTTCGTCCAGAGATATTGTCCTGCCTCACAACCCCTTCCCTTTGCAATCGGTGAGGAAATGAAAGGAGCCGTTTGCCCAGCTGCGATGGACTGAGCCTGATCTTGACTCTGCCCAAGGGCTGAAATAGTGTGAAGCCAGGGTGGCACTGGCCCCAAATGCAAAATTTAAGAGAGCCACATTTTTAAAGAGCAAAAGTAATGCAGAAGTCCCACGATGAACAAGGTGTAGTTTTAAATGACAAGCTCTTGTAGTCACATCTGAGCCAATGAACCGAGGGCCAGCTTCAGCTTCCTTTTCTCCCAAGGGCCCCCTTGTCAAATGCTTCCCTGACCCATCCTCTCCCAAGCTGGCTTAGAGCCCCTCGTTTTCCCCCAACACTTAACCCCATTATTACTCACTATATACTGCCTTATCACTTTTCATTATCTTTTTAAATGAACCATAAGAAACAGAAAAGTGCAGACATCAGAAGTGTACTGTTTGATGAATCGTAACAAGATGTGATCGTGTACCCACCACCCAGGTCAGGAAGCAGAACGTGGCCAGGCCCCCAGGGGCCCCTTGTGCCCCTTCTCATCCCTTCCCCTCCCTCCTAATGTTCTCAGTTCTAACAGGTCCCTGCTTTGTGCCTGTCCAACTAGCCCAGTAATAGGCAAACTATGGCAGCCAAGTCCTACCCAATACCTGGTTTTGTACCACCCACAGGTTAATCGTTTTGACATTCTTACATGGTTGTTTCAGATGTAAAAATAATAGTTTGTGGTGTGGAAATTTACACAAATTCAAAAACATTTTATTAGAGCACAGTCATGCTCATTTCTTTACATATCTCTATGGCTGTTTCGCACTTTGATGGCACAAAATGCTTTGAGTATTTGTGACAAAGACCGCATGGTCCACAAAGCCCAAAATATTTACTATCTGGCCCTTTCCAGAAAGAGCTGGTTAACTCCTGCACTGGACTGTAAGCTGCAGGAGGCTGGGGCCCACTCATTCACTCTTACATCCCCAGAGCTTTGCACAGTGCCTGGTGCATAAGGGATGCTCATAAAGAGGGTGTCTTAATGCTCAAGTCATTTATTATCCTTTCATGTGAGAGGAAGAGGAGGAGACTCAGGATGAGATATCCCAGAAGGCCCTGTAGCACTCCCCTCCCAGAGGCACTGTGTTCGGCGGCGAAGAGCAGGGATTCTGGAGTCGGACACACTAGGTTGAAGTCCTTCCGCTATTTACAAGCTATATGACATTGAGAAATTTAATCTCTCCAAGGCTTATCTTCACAACATGTAACACAAGGAAGAATAGTACCAAGTCCTTGTAAAGATTGAAATTAAATGGAATAGGTAAAAAATGTGCCCTGAGTTTTGAATAGATGTTCGCTATCATCATCATCCTCAGGATTATCACCTCTCAGACACCTCTGCACCTTAGATCTTAGGTCACTGCAGAGCCCTAGAAGGGCTTCGCTCCCTCCTGTCACCTCCCCTCACCTCACAAGTGCCATGCATCCCAAGCCACATTCTCAGAGTAACAGAAAATGAAGTCTCAAAGTGATCAAGCGACTCGTTCCCAGGTGCCTGTGGTACAGCCAAGTCTGGTGTCAATCTCCAGTGGCTGCCCATTCCCCACTCAGGCCGAGATCAATAACAAGTCATTGCTTATGTATTAGGAGGGTTTTAATCATAGGCAGGACTATGCAATGGGGCCTTCTCTGACATTGCATTTTTCCTGTGGAGAATTGGCCGATTGATTAGTCCCGCTCCGAGATCTTAAGGCCATTTCTGAGCTCCGGACGCATTTCTGAAGAGCAGCAGTAAGGGACCGCCAAGCGGTGGGCTGGGGAGGCTGCCAAGCCCGCCTGGGTCCAAGAGGGCTGCTGGGATTCCAAACTGCCCACTGGATCAGTCAGCCTCCCAGGGGAAACAGACGGCTCCCTTGAAAGGGCTGATTGCAGAGCGTTTAACGAAGGAACTTTGTACGGAGGGGAGAGCAGGATTCAGGGCTGGTGAAGCTGTAGCCGCACGAGAGGGTGTGACTGGAGCTGTGGCCTTGGGCAGAGAAAGGCGGGGTGGAGAGAGGCGGGGAAAGGGGCAGGGAGGGGGCAGATGGCAGCTACCCAGCCACCCAAGGCCACACCGGAGAAGGGTTCTCAACAGGACCAGGCATGGAGAATGCCTTTCACCTGCCGCCTGATCCCATTTCCTGGCCTCTCGCCTCCCATTGTCAGGGTCAGCATGCCCCTCACCCCGTGCAAGGACTTCCCTGAAAAACAAGGCAGTTGTGCACTCAGAACGTGACTGTGCATGTTCTCCACCGGGGATGATCTTGCCCCCCCAGGGGACATTCCTCAGTGTCGTTAGGCATTTTGACTGTCCCACCTCGGACTTCTGGCTCGTAGAGGGTAGAAGCTGGGGCTGCTGCTAAACATTCTACGAGGCACGGGCCCCATCAACAATTATCTGGCTGAGATGTCACCGTGCCAAGGTGAGAACCCCTGTTTTAAAGTGGTTGCTCTGGCCTCCTTCCCTGTCCCTCCCTCAGCCTCCAGCTGGGCCCTCCCTTGCACCCCCTCTTCCCGCCCCCAGCCAGGCGGCCCCCAGCCCTCCCCGAGTCTGCCCACGGCAGGCTGACTCTTGGTGGTGTCCCTGCACCTGGACCTCTTCCTCTGGCTGGCGCTGCCTCCCACTCTTGTCCCTGTGCCCCACGCCCCTTCTCCTCCTTCCTTCCTCTCGGAGGCCATCTGTCCTCCAGACCCTGTGCCCATCACCCCCACGGCCTCAGTTACCCTCCCAGTAATTTTTCTCTCACTTGACAATCCTTCCAGGTCCTCCCGTTCTAAATCACATGGAACAAAGCAGACTTTCTGGAGCTAGCCAGGATCATGTTAGAGCTACTTACACTCTTTCTTCCCTTACTTCCAGAACCTGGAATGTTCTGTTTATAAAACATACACTTTGACCTCGCTGATGCTGCGGCTCTTGGGAGCCAGGGTCTTGCACAGGCTCCTCTGGCTGGGAAAGCAGGCGAGGCGGCCGAAGGTAACCGCCCCTGGGGTCCCTGGGGAGAGGGCTCCTTGGGGGACGGAGGCTCCAAGGGCAGGAGAAGCAGCAGTGGCCAAGCCTGTGACGCGCCGGGGAGGCCCTAGCTGAGGGCAGGCCCTGCTCCCTCGGAGCCCCCTCCTGGCCTGCCCCCTGCACAGGCTCTCCTTGCCCCATTACCCTCTCTCGTCCCTACCAGGGCTCAGGCAGAGTGGGGAGGAACCCAGCTGTTCAGTCCCGAGATGAAGTCGGCCAGGACGCCCAGAACACCCAGCCGCCTTTATTCCTTTCCTCCAGATGGCCCTCGAAACTCAGGCGAGCCAGCAGGGCAGATGACCCCGCGCCCAGAGCCCCCAGCATGAACTCCCTGCCCCCCGCCCGCCAGGGCCTCTGAGCTCCAGGTCTGCCACCAGCAGCCCAGCCGCACCTGCTGGGGAAGGGCAAGCAGAAGCAGAAGGGCCAGGGTTGGGCCCCGGAGGGGAGCGGGGTGGCTGCGCCGGCCCACCCCTCAAGGCAGCCCCACCAGCTCCGTGATGGGAGGGGTCTGCACCATGAACTCCTCATAGTGACTGAGAAACAGCTGGAAGCGAGCAAGGTAGGTGTCCTCGTTGTAAGGCAGCTGCTTCTCCTGGAGGAACCGGGATACCACAGGCTTCACCTGCCAGAGGGTGAGCGGGAAGGGCCACTGAGCCGGGGCTGCAGGCCGGCCCACCCACACGGGGCCTTCCTCTTCCTGCTCCTGGCTCCTGTCTGCCTTGTCCCATGATGCTCTGCGGGGACTGGGCAGCAGAGAGAACTCCTGCCTCTCCGCATCCCTGGCTCCAGGCTACGTGACAGTCCTTGCCACGGCTTCCTCTCGCCAGCACCTACTGGGTGCCCAACGTTTTAGATCCATTTCTCCACTTCGTGTCAGCGTGAGCACTGCTCGCTCCTCCACCAGAACAGGTGGGGAGGCTGAGGCTCAGAGACAGCCAGGGAGTCACACTAAGAAGCCCGCGTGTCTCTGATCGGAACCGCACACTCTGCTCGTACCCTGCGTTGCCCTTCCTGCCAGTTGGAGGAATCGGGGTTCAGGCAAATACTGAAGGGTGCCCACCCTCTGCTCTCAAACAGCCTCCTCATCCCAGCTCCTCCGGCTCGACCCCCATCTACCTTTAGGCACATGTGGTCGGAGAGGTTGGGGAAGAGGTGGTGCTCCACGTGGCAGCTGACGATGGAGTGGCCGAAGGCCCAGTCCAGCACGGGCAGCCGGGGCAGGTTAAGCACGCCCAGGCTCATCATGTGAATCCGTCGGGGCTTCTTGTCCCAGGAGAACATGGGCAGCCCGATGTGCTGTGACGGACACGTGGGTCACAGCCTGAGCCATTCTGGTACCTCCCCACCCTGCCCCGCGTGTCTTCACTTAGCGCTCGGGGTCCGTGGGTGCTTGTCCCCCCACGCCCGCTCCGGCAGACCCAGTGGAGGTGTGAGGAGGTGGGGCCCTGAGCTCGCCTCGTCCGTCCTTCTCTGGGCCTGGCCTCTGGCCCCACCTGTGCGATGAGGGGCTTGGCCTGCAAGTCCCTGGGCTGCCTGTGTGCTCTCAGGTCACGGTGTCTGGGCTTCCTCCTGGAGGGACCCTGTTCTACCTGTTCCCACCAATCAAAATCCCACCTGTCGTCCAAGGTGCAGCTTGAGCAGCTGCATTTTTTTCATTGAACAGGTTTGTATAAGCGCCTCCCCTGCCAGGCGCCGCCCTAAGTCTAAGGGATGTGAAGTGAATGGAGCTTCCTTCCATTCTAGCCAGTCAGGCCGAGGGGCCGCGCCTGGGATTCAGCCAGCCAGGCAGCTGCGGTGAGTGCTGGCGGGGTGCCGCGCACTGGCCCGGGGAGCAGGGAGGCCTTTGTCCCCACGGAAATGTCCTGGGACCACACGCTGAGCCCTGTCCTTCCAGCTTCTCTGCCTGTGTGGCCGGCGCTGGGGCTCTGGGATGGTCCCCATCCCCCTTCACTCGGGGTGATGGCAGTAAGTGCCCTGAGGGCAGGGGCCGGGAGCTAATCTCTTGTGCCCCCACAGGGCTTAATCAGGTGCCCTGTGCCTAGAAGGTTCTTAATAAACCTTCAGTCCCCATGCGAGTGACAGCCAGTGTGGAAAAAAAGCAGATTCCTTACCTGAGACCAAACTCTCTGCCATGACCCACAGAGGAGAGGGGAGGGCTGGGCGGGAGGCGGGGGCGGCTGCTTGCCTGCGTGGAGAGCACCCCTCCAGCCCCCAGCGCCTCACCTGGAAGATGTTGATGTGGAGGTAAGGGTGGGCCAGCAGGGACCTGGTGCTCAGCATGCAGGCCAGGGCTGAGCCGGAGCTCTGGAAGCCAGACACGTTCAGGAGCAGCCAGTAGTGAGAATAAAGGCCCAGGGAGATCAGGCCCAGCGTCCGCAGAGCCACTCCAAGCTTCGCCTTCCTCAGCCGCTCTACCAGAGGGGCAAGGAATACAGTGTCAGCCCCGTAAGCGAGCTGGCTCCCCGGTGGCTCAGCGGCGCCAACTAGGGTGACCCAGGCGTGTCCGTGCACGCGCAGCCCTGGAAAGTGGATTCACCCGCGTTACAGATGAGCCGATGGAGCATTAAGCAACTTGCCCGACGTCACGCTGAGAGTAAGTGGCGGCGTGGGGCTTGAGCCCAGGTCTGGCTGTCCCCCAACCCCTGCTCCTTCCACCACAACACAGCCCCGGGGAGGTGAGAAGTTCTAATGTGCCACACAGTGTGAGGCTTCTACAAAGCACTTTTACAGAGGTGGCCTCGTTCTGCTTTCCCACCACCCCAAGGAGCAGGCGGGAACCTGAGGCTCAGAGAGGCTGTCACCTGCCTGAGGTCATGTAGCCACGAAGTGGCTATGCCAGGCTTGGCCACAGGCCTGGGGTGCCTTCCACCCTGCCTGGCTGACTCAGAAGGTTTCTCTTTCCTCTGGGCTCCTCACTTCCTCCGCAGGCAGCCTCCAGGAGTGGGGGAGGGGAGGAAGAAAAGGGGCGCGCAGGCACCCAGACCCGGCCCCGGCGTACTCACCAACAGCCACCAGCGGGGTGATGACGGGGATCAGGAGGGGAGCGAGGAACATGTAGACATAGCGGTTGAGATAAGGCAGCTTCCACGTGCTTGAGTCCCCCAGGCCCAGCACGTTGGTGTAGCCGTGGTGCATTTTGACATGTCCATACTTGGCGTCCTCTGTGGGGAAGGCTGTGCACACCTGGGAAAGCCAGAAAGGGCGCAAGGTCCACGTCAGCCCAGCCAGGCAAAGCAGGACCTTTGGGAGCCTTGAGAACACACCGCCTCCAGGGCCTTCCTGTCTTACACCCCCAGCTCATCAGCCCTGACCATCAACTCTCAGGTATCAGTGGCCAGAGCGGCAGCCAGTCAAAGCATCGGTGTCCACCAGGGGGCACAAGGCCAGCCACCCGATTGTCACTCTCCCACTGACCATCAGGCAAGCCTGAGAGGACTGGACTCACGGCAGGTCAAGTTTCTGGCATCAGGCCGCGGTTATTTTGTGTGTCTCTCTTGGAAACGCCTGGACCTTTGTACCACTACTTTGCACCCTGAGCCTACGGCAGAGAAGGGCGGGGTGTCCGGAGGCACAGGGAGGCTGTCTCCTAAACTGTCCACAAGGGTGGCACCTGGGCCGAGGGTGCTGGGAGCTAGCTTCTCCCCCTAGGGGAGGCTCTTCTACAGCAGGGCGGGACTCTCCAAAGCTGGTCCCGAGCAGCAGCGCTCTGACTCCAAGACCAGTCGCTCCGGGATGCGAAGTGGGACTAAGGTGCTTCTTATGCAGATACATGCAAATGAACATGCAGATGTCAGCCTCTTAATATTTTACCCAGGCCACGGGGTTTTGCTAATTGTATCAGAGATGCTGCCTGCCTGCTTCCCTGAGAACATGAAGGGTTTTCCAATGCCAACCGCTGTGAGCCTTTCACAGACAGCGGAAGTGCGCACTTAGCGTTTCTCACTACACACATGTGACTTGTTAATCTTCCAGGCTGGGGGTCAGTGGTGTTAGTATCCACAGTTGGCAGAAGAAGAAACTGAAATAGATGCCGCGTGACCACCCCGGGTCACTCAGCCATGCAGGTGGCAGAGGAGGAATTTGAACCCAGCTTTCATCCAGGATAAGCCATGAGGCCCCTGCAAGGAGCTCGCCACTGCAGCAGCGCAGGGCCCAGGCTCCGGGTCCAGGCAGCGGAGGCAAACCCAGGAGAAGGCAAAGGACCGCAAAGGCCACCACCCTCACACTGTGCACAGAGACTTCCGCCTTCAGCCAGAAGCTCTACCTAAAGGGCTCTGAGGAACACAGTTAACGATGTCACAGCGGCAGTTTTACAACAGACACGGCAAACCAGGATGGCACAGGACCCACCACGAAGGCAAAGGGCAGGAAGATGAATGCTAATTCAGCGACGGCACTGCAGCAGAGTCCACGACACAGCCCCTGCTGCTTGGCTCTGAGGTGGTGTAACCCCCCAGGGGTGAGATTTGCTGTTTTTGTGACCTTGCAGAGGGACAGAGCTGGGCAGGCTGCAGAGGGTGGGCAAGTAAGTAACAGCTCTTCCACACCTGCTGGTCTCCAAGGACCTGCCCACCCAAGAACACACACCCACTGGGCGTCCTTGGTTGGCTCACGTTAGCGGTGGAAGTCTTTGGCAGTGGGCACAAGGGGGCTGCAGCCGGGGTCTCTTGGGGCCCCTGAGACCGACCTGCCTCTGCCAAGGCAAGCGTGTGTTTTGAACCTCATGGCCCATCTCACGTAACTGGAAGAAGCCGCTGTTTATAGCTGGTGCTTCTGCGCCCTCCCGCTCTGAGGGCCGGTCCCCTCCACATTGCTTCTTTCATCAAGAAATGTCAGCTGAATCATCAATAAATCAATAAATAAGTGCTGGCAGGGCCGCGGAGAAAATGGAACCCTCAGGCTCTGCTGGTGGGGCTGCAAATTGGAGCAGCCAGCATGGAAAACAGTGTCGGGGTACCTCAAACATTCAACACAGAGCCGCCATGGGATCCAGCACTCCCACTCCTGGGTGTTTATCTGAGGACAACAAAAACACTCATTTGAAAAAATAAATATGCATCCCTATGTTCATTGCAGCATTATTTACAATGGCCAAGATATGAAAGCAGCTTAAGTGCCCATCAGTAGATGGATGGATTAAAAAATGTGGTGCATATACACAATGGGATATGACTCAGCCACAAAAAGAATGAAATCTTGCATCTGCAGCCACATGGACGGACCTGGAGGGCCTTGTGCTAAGTGAAGTAAGTTAGAGAAACAAATACTGTATGCTTCCTCTCACATGTGGAATCTCAAACAACAAAATGAATAAATAAAACAGAAACAGACTCAGAGACACTGATGGTTGCTGAAGGAGGGGGGGTGGAAATTAAGAGATGTCAGCTGTCCGCCCAGTGACAACGCTGCTTTTCCTTCTGGCGCAAGCCCCACACCCCCTCGCAGACCAGAAGCTGGCCGTGCCCCGAGCCGCAATGTCGGAAACAACAGAGCCTGAGCCGACCCCCAGGAGCCCGCCCGGCTCTCGTCGGGTGCCCAGCCCCGTGCCCAGGCCTGACGTGCAGGGTGCAGGGGGGACGGGCTGCCCGTGCGGCACATGGCGTGTGACCTGTGGCTCGGGACACACGGAGTGTGGGCGATTTGCCGCTTTCTGTGAACAAGAACAGATTGAGGCTATTGCTGTAACACTGGGATTCTCCCTCCCACCTGTGTGTTGGGTGGGTTTTGGCGAGGAGGGCAGACTGCACGTGGATGGCGGCGTGTCCGAGTGCGTGTCCATCCATCAGCCAGAGCCCAGCGCGCCTCTGTCCCCTGGCCACGTGCTGCAGAGGTGGTTGGGGAAGGGCCTGTCCTGCTGTCAAGGATTATTGAAAGGCCTCGCCCGAGAGGATTCCACATCCAGACCCAGAGAAAGTTCCGGAAGCCTCAAGGGTGGTGTTCTTGACATCGCCACCCTCTGTGCTCCTCAGTAGGGCTTTAGAGCCCCGATCTCTCAGCAGCGTTCAGCCGCACGGGGCCGGACTGGGTGAGGGGTGGGGCGCATGCAGCTCCTCTCGACCTCTTCTCTCCACTAAACATGGGGGCCCCAAATCCCACAGTCGTTCGTTCGTTCTTTTTTCCCGTTGATTGCCCACCAAAATGTCCTCAGATCTCTGCCATTGGCCAGCGGGGGTTGTCTAGTTTGCTTTTTTGAACAGGTAACATGTTTACATAATTCAGAATTCAAAGTGGGCAGTGACGGGTCTTCTTCCTCCCTCTGGATGAGAAAGGGACAGCGGTGAGGGGAAGCCGGAGGGGCCGCTGGGCGCCTCGTCCTGAAAGGAGCAGGCTGGGGCCGTCCACGCCGAGCCCATCAGCGGCTCTGAGAAAATCCTCTCCCCTTTCGGGTGCGTCCCCATAACCCCTGAGCTCCTGTGCTCAGCACACAGGCCTCCTTGCCCCGCTTCCTCCAGGCTCCCCATTAGATTCTGCACGCTCTGCAGGCATGACGCCGTTTCCCAGGTCTGTGCCTTTGTGCGTCGGCTCCATGTGGAACCACCTGCCTGCGCTGGGCCTGGCCAGCCCTGTCCTGGCAGCGTCTCCTCCGGACTCTCCCCGTCCCTGGGGTTCCCAGCCTCAGCACCCTGGACATTTGGCATCGGTCATTCTGTTCTGGGAGCATGTCCGGTGCTGTGTAGGATGTTTAGCAGCATCCCTGGTCTCTAGTCACTAGATGCCAGTAATGCACGCGCGCACCGCGGTTGTGATGGCCAAAAATGCCCGCCAGCAGTGCGGGTGTCTCCGCCCGCTCTCCACTCTGTGCACGCAGCCTCCGCACCGGCAGGTTCTGCCTGCCCTGCCCCCAGCCCGCACGGGCTCCCAGACCAGTGTCTCCTCATCTACAGATAGGTAATCATAGCTCCAACTACATAAGGAGATGCGACTATTACATGAGATAATTTGTGTAAAGTACACAGGAAGCAGCCACTAAGTGTCAGCTGGTATAATCGGGATTTTTATCATTTTGATGCCGTTTGTGTGTCTGTTTCCCGACCTGACTCTGAGCCCCTGGAGAACTGGGAGCGCGTCGTACTCAGGCTGTGTCCCCCGCACCTGGCGGCGGGCTTGGCGGGGAGCAGAAGCTCAGCAATGGTGAGAGCCCGGCGCAGCCACCGCACACTCAGCTCGGCAGACACTGTCTCAGCCCCCAAATACCCCCACCCCATCTGCTGGGTGGCCCCGCCCCTGCAATGCAACGCCGCCTCATTCCCGCTACGCAGCCATTCACAGGCGACTGCATGGCCTTGCTCTGGGGCCACCAGCCAGCCCACCAGAGCCGCCGTCCCCAGGAGCCATGCTTTATGGACCCACAGGCTCATCCTTGAGGAGCTGTGCCAAAGCTGGGGGTGGTGGGGCAAGGACTGCCTCACAGTATCCTGGGAACCGACACACGTGCTGAAATGGCCTGGAGCCGCGCAGGGGTGCCCGACTCGCACACGGTGCTGAGCTCAGCGTCCTGGCTCTGCCATTGAACAGCACTCAGGAGTGTAATTGTCGGAGGGACCAGGTAAAGGGTGCACCGGGCTGCTTGTCCTCTTTTTGCAACATCCTGTGAATCTATAATTATTTTAAAAATAAATGTGTTGGGTTCTCTTTTTTTTTTTTCCACAAAAGTATATTTTGGACTGCAGATCTGCATTTGCCCCTTAACTACATCTTTTAAATAAAAAATAAACTTGTAGCTGAGCCTCCGTAGTCCAACACTTCTCGGGGCCCAGGCAGAGAAAGAAGGAGGGCCGGTCGTAGAGACAGCCCCGAGGCTGACAGCCACACCGAGCTCAGGGGAAGAGGGCACTTGGGACTGCGGCCAGGCCGGGCTCTTGGCTGTTTCCGCCACCGCAGAGGACGTGCGTGAAGGTGAGGGCGTCCCCAGGGCCACCCCCCTGGGGGCAGGGCTGGCCTGTGCTCCCTGTGGCCCCGCTGTGACTTGTCCCCCAGCGGCACAAAGCCGACTTTAGAAAGAGGGTGTGGAGCTGAGACGATAGGGCAGTCTGCCCCCTTCACCCCTGACAGCGCCCCGACTGAGCGCCAGGCAGGGGGGGTCTCTGAAGCCCCCTGATTTCAGGAGCTCGTGCTTCCCCAACATCAGTGCTTAAAAAACCCGGGCGGCCCTGCCCACCTGCCTTGCCCCTCACCTTCCTGTGGCCCTTCGCTGGCAGTCCCCAAGAATATAACAGTCCTGTGACACCACTCAGGACAGGGAGGGGCAGGCACTCTTGGAGGGGAGGCCAGGGTTATCCGTGGGCTGGAGGGAGGGTCCGAGGTGCACTAGCAGGAGGGCTGGGACATTCTCGTGTGGACTGGAAGTGGGTCTTCAGAGGCAGGTCTGCGCTGGCATGGGGAGGTTGTATGACTGGGGACACTTCAGCAGAGAAACACAACAACCCAGAGTGTCCCTGGCCGCTCCATCCTGCTCCCCCGCCCCCCAGGGCCAGGGGGTCCGCGAGGGTGAGGTCCTGTCCACCCCCAGCTGCAGCCAGCAGACGCCGCCACAAGCCCAGCAACAGCCGGCTGCCCCAGGGAGGCCAGGGAGACTCCGCTGACGCCTACGGCTGTGGACTAGAGGACTAGATTATTCTGTGGTGACGGGGTCCCCTGAGGGTCAAAGCTCGGGAAGGGCCCATGCACCCAACAAGAAGATGGTGCTGGGCAACAGGAGCACATCCTCTGTGCGGTGCCAAGAGCAGGTGGGGGTCTGCGCCACACACACAGCCCCAGACGCACGTGCACAGAGTCCTGTCTGCTTTGCACAACTGTATCCACCTTTCAGTTAAAAACAACACACAAACACACAGTAAACGCTGCCATCCCTTTCCTTGCTGCTGACTGTATGTTCTTTCTGGGGAGTTGGGGGAGGAAGGCAAAGCTAACACTCATCAAGCATCGAAGAGCCAGGCCCAAATGCCACCCTGAATCCTCACCCCGATTTCACAGGGGAGGCAGCGCGGTTATTCCTGTTTGTTAGACAGGGAGCTCACGCTCACACGCTGGGTTCAATAACATGCTGAGTCAGTAACATGGGCTGGGAATCCAGCTGAGCAGTGCAGCTCCGAAGGCGGTGCCCTACCCTGTCCCGTCAGTCCGTACCCCCCACCCCCGCACCCCTGGCTGGCTGGGTGAGGACCCACCTGGAAGGGAGAGCTCAGGGGACGAGTTCTGCAGAGGAAGCAGGGTGGCCTGAGCCTGGGCCAGAGAGAGAGGCAACCCGGCCAGAAACCTTTGCCCCACTGGCCTTGCTCATGGGAGAGAAGGCTGAGACAAGGTGGGGAGGGGTGAAGAAGCAAGGCGCAGGGTCAGGAGAGAGGAGGGTCCCTCCTGAACAGACTTGGGGGACCAGCGAGAAGGCTCCTCAGGATGGCTCGGCCACCACCAGGCCCCAGCGGGGCAGCACACGTTCCAGAGTGGGGGCCCTGTGACCCCAGGCCCCTGCTCCCCTTCCTTCTGCCTGTGGCTTACATTTTAAACCCTGATTGCCAAACCAGGAGGCCCCAAAGGTCTTGGCCAAGACCTGCAAGCCACAGGTGTCCTGGCAGGAGGAGGCAGCTCTGGCACCGCTCGAACCAACGCCGCATAGCAGTGGGCGGGCATCCCAGGCAAAAGTGCCACAGGGAGACCCTCGTGCACCCCTCACGCAGCTCCCCGCCCACAGGCGCCACCCCCCTGCAGGGCACACCCAGACACACACTCTGTGGTGCAGGCCGCACGCTCGGACCCGCACCCCAGCAGACAGACACACACACCCGGCATGCGAGCCGCACACAGCCGCCCACCGGCACAGAGCAGTGTGGGTGCCCGCCCGGCGCCCGCGGCTGCCCCGCCCCCGCGCAGGCTCACCTCCACGAAGAAGTGTGCCCAGATCCTGCTCCAGCGTTTGGACTCGGTGAGGGCGCCGTGAGTGGCCAGGTGGCTGCCCTTGACGGTGAGCGTGTAGTGGCACACGCCCAGGATGGCGATGCCCAGGATGAAGACCAGGACGTTCCCGGAGCGCAAACACAGGAACCCTGCCACAGCGAGCGGGGCAGGGTCTTTCTCTGGCTTTCAGAGACCTGGGCCCAAGCACCCCAGGCCCCACCCTGGAAGCCCAGACCAGCGCCGGGGCTGCCAGAGGCAGCAGTGAGGAGGTCCCACTATGGCCTGAGAGGGGTGGGTTGGTTCCTTCTACAGGACGGGGGGCGGGGGGGGGCGGGGTAAGGGGTAAGGGGTGGGATGGGGAACAGGGCCCCATTCACTCCTCAAGGAGATTCCAGGAGTCTTGATTCCGGGCCCCAGCCAGGGCAGTGACCTCCCCGGCGTGGTGGGGGTCCGGGTCAGGAGAGGTCAGGGGAAACAGCCTCCTTCCTTCCTCACCTCATCCCTGGTGGCCCCACAGAACACCCTTCCCCTCCCCCAGGCCACCTGGTCCCTCCCAGCCTCTCTGTGACCCTTCTCAGCTTCCCCTCCTCTGCCCTTCATGCCAGACCACCTCTCTCCTCCAGCACCCAGGTCCTCGGGGGACATAAGGGGAACACTCCAGCCAGACTTTTGGATTTGGGGTGTGGCTCTCTATCCCGGGGTCCCGGCCAGGCAGCATCTCCCTAACTCCACGCCCCCTCCAGCCCTCTTCATCCCCTCCCCCACATCCCCTGCCCAGCCTGGCCTCTTGTCCTCTGTCCCCGTGTCCCTCACCAGGCGGCAAGGAGAGGAGGCTGAGCCCCAGGATGGCGCAATCCACGCCGTGGCGCTCCCACCACGAGCTCGCCTTCACCACGTCCTGGACCCGCGCCTCCAGCTCGCCCAGCAGCGCCTCGGGCCCAGCGCTCCCTTGGGGGGCTCTCCGCGCCGTTTCCATGGGGCCCCCCCGGACGACAGAAGACACTCCGGAGTGTCTGCGGCGCCCGGCTAGGCACGGAGCGCGGGGGCGGGCCAGGGCGGAGTCACGCGCCAGGCACCCGCCCCCGGGGTGGCGATTCGTGCTGGGCACCGAGGGCCTCTGGTCCAAAACAGCCGGCGGAGGGACCAGTAGATGCACGAGGGTGGGGAGGAGACCCTGGAGCGAGAACCGGCCCGGAGCAGAGCAGCAAGGTGGCGCGGACGCGCGGATACTCCTCAGGGCTCCTGACTGCCTGACCTCAAACCGCTCCCTGTGCCCTCACCCTGCTCTGTTCACGGCAGCCTTTTGATCCCATAGCCTGAGGACTTCTAGCAGCGCTGGCTGAGGCGGGAGCCACGGGGAGGTGGCTCCCCAGTCCCGAGACGCTGAGGGCGAGAAGGACATGCGGAGAGAAAACACATCCGGACGTCACCATTCCTCGCGGGATCCTTCTGCAAGTCCCTGTATCAGGGGCGCCCAGGTCTGACCCAGGACCCAGGCCAGGGCCACCGCCAACAGCCCCCGCAAACTTGGGCCCTAGCCCCTTCCCACCAACCCAGGCGCTCGGCCAGCGCTGCCAGGCACAAGCTACTGCGGCTCTGCGATCTCCCTTCGCTGCCTCCTCCTCTTCCCGGTGTTGTTTTACTTTCTCCCTAGGCTTACACTGAGGTCCCTTTGAGCATGAGGTCCGGTGTGGTGAGGACAGCAGCATTTTCAGCTGCTGCCCTTTGGGAAGCTGTGGGGGGTGAGACCGGGAGGAGGAAAGGGGGTGGGGAGACACCAGTCAGGGACACAAATGACTCTGATCCCTTCTGTCTTCCCTGGAGGTTTTCCTTCATGAGTTCTTATGAGTTCATCCTTTCAGTTCTTTATAAAAGAGCAAGGTGTTTTCACCAGGCCGCTATTCTAAGGGGCTTACAATCTAAAAGACCAACTCTCACCGCGCGCACACACACACACACACACACACACACAGGTCTGGCTCCTGGAGCTACTGTTGACTTTCACATACCTGTCAGGTCGTGTGGGATTCCCCCCACTTTAAAGGATGGAGACCCAGAGAGAGGAACTAATCTGCCCAGCACCCACCCCACAGCTACTAAATGACGGAACCAGAACTCAAACCCGGACGCCTCTTCCTCACCCAATTATCTTTTGTTTATATCAGAGATTTTTTAAGGCAGAGAAGGGGGAGGTGTCCTCCCCGCTCCCTATGCCACCTTTGAGCACCTCCCTCTTGGACATACTAGAATTTTCAGGGAAGGACTATGTACAATGTTTAAAAGCATATTAAACATTAATATTATAATATATTGCATAAGGGTGGTCTCCCACTGCTTTTATTATATAAACTAAGAAAACTTCTGGTACCAAGAAGCTGCTCTCCAGGCCTGGGCTATGGCCTGGGCATGTAAGGAGACAAACGCCGAGTCTGGAGGACCCAGGCATCCCCATGGGGTGGGGCTGGCTAGCAGCCTGTCCGGAGAGAGGCGGGCTTCACTTGGTACACACATAAACCGGGGGAGACGGAGGGGCACAAGGCGTTCTGGGTCCTCAGGGCGTGGGGCAGGAGTAGGTGGGAGCGCGCTAAGGAACGAAGGAGAGGAAGGCTGCGGCCGGTTGCTGGAGGCGCCACGGACGGCAGGCTGGGCAGGCTGAAGGGGCTGGACCCTGCAGGCTTGGGGGGCACGGCAGGCTCCGGAGCGGAGGAATGCCTTGTGTGATGTGGCTTTCAGAAAGCTTCATGGGGCCCACTGGAGCAGCCACGGAGTGCAGGAGACTGGAGGCTGGGTGTCCCCAAACAAGGGGGCGCTGAGGGTGTTGCAGGAGGGGAGGGCAGGGAACATGGGGGACGACGCAGTAAGACGACCGGAATAGACAGCTCACCAAAGCAAACGCATACGTGGCCGAGAAGCACATGGGAAGATGCTCAGCACCATTAGTCTTCAGGGAAATGCAAATTAAATCCCCGATGGGCTCGCCGTTCAGCCCTGCTAGCGTGGCTCAAGTTCAACAGCCAGGTGACTCTGAGCGTGGACAGCGGGATGTGGGGAAACCAACCTCCCCTTCGCTGCCGACGAGAGGGTGCAGCAGTACCGGCCCTTCAGCAAACTGTTTGGCCGTTCCTTGTGAGGTTACACACACACTCCATCCATAACCCGGCAACCCAGCTCGCTGGCGTTCACCCAGCAGGAGCGAGAACGTGTCTGTGGAAGAACGTGCGCCTGAATGACCGTAGCGACGTTACGCATTACAGCCAATCGGGGAACCGCCTGAACGTCCAACAGGAGAGCGGATGAACAACCTGGGAGCAGCTGGCAGCCTTGCAGGGGCACTGCCGTCCCCAAGGCCGTGGGCAGTGGGAGAGGGGCCAGGCACAAACAGTCCTGACTGCAAGACTCCACTTACAGGAAGTTCAAGAACTAACCTGCGGGGATCAGAGGCAAACCAGTAGTTGCCTGGGGAGGGCTGCGCGTGGACAGCAACTGCAAAGGCTCACGGGGAAACTTCCTGGGAGAATGGAAATGTTCTGTGTCTTGATTGTGGTGGTGACTTCGTTTGTCGAAAGTCATGGAGCGGCACACTCAAAGTGGGTGCATTTTGTTATAGTTAATTGTATTCCAGGAAAGCTGATTAAAGCAAAAACAAAATGTCAAGGCAGACTTTCTTTTAAAATGAAACAAGCTATATTAGAGCTGAGCACGCGCATGCCTTAGGTGTTTACTCAACAGAAATACAAAAAATGTACAAAACCTTTCATAGCAGCAATACTCAAAATAGACGCAAACTGGGACAACTCAAGCGTCCCCCCAAGGAGAGCAGATAAATAAAATGCGGTGCGTGCATGCCGTGGAGCGCTGTACAGCCCAGACCTCAGACCGACTAAAATCACACGGAGCACAGGCTGTTCGGTTCCATTCAGGTCCAACAAAAGACCTAGGATGGCGGTCGGACTCGGGGTAGTTACTGGGAGGGGCCGCTGGGGGTTTCTTGGCGGGGGCGGGGGATGTTTTGCTTCGTGATCTGGTGCTAGTTACCCTTGAGTGTGCTCAGTCTGTGAAAATTTATCCTGCTACACTGTAATGGCATGTATTTTCTGTGTGTCACATTTTAATTAAAACATTTGCTTTATTTTTTAAATGAGTAATAGTTGTTTTGTTTTGGTTTTTTTAGAGGTATAAATCAGCAGGTAGATGCGACCCACCAGCCCAGTGCAGTGAAGCGCAGGAAAGCAGAGCGCGGCTGGTACCCCAGTCCCTGGGCCATGGAGGTTGGCGGGGGGGGGTAGCTGAGCATGTGGGGCGGCCAGGTGCCTGGTCTACCTATAACCCTTCCCCATGCCTCTCTGTCAGCCCGTCCTGACCTCCTTCCAGCTGCTGGTCCTCCTCTCCCTGGTCCCCAGGATCTCGCTCCCAAAGGTGAGGGTGGATTGTGAGAATGGAGCCTGGGGTGGGGGCCTCTGGGTGGCAGTCCAGGCAGCCCTGCCCCCATCTAACTCTCCGTGTGGCTTCGCACAGCAGGTCCTGGGGGCCAGGCCAGGGCAGGCTCCTCCACCTCCGTCCGCGGCTGGGGCGAGACAGCCCGGGCAGGGAACTGTCTGCTCCTCCCAGCCACCCGCCAGGCCCGCCTTCCTCCCGCCCCCCCCCGCCCCGCTCAACCCCTCACCTGTCTGCGTGAGACTCAGCGTCTGCAAAGAGCACAGCTTTGGAACCCAGCTTGTTTACTAGCTGTGTGACCTTGGGCGAGGTGATCAGCCTCTCTGAGCCTTAGTATCCTCATATACACTAAGAAACAGAGATTTTAAGGAGCGAGATAAATATCAATGGGAGTTTTAATATTTCCTTCCTGGACCCCAATGGAGTATTGTGCGTGCCCCCACTTTGGAGACCTCTGGCCCACAGCCTAAGGTCGAAGGGCTCAGCTCGGCTTTTGAGGGCCCCCGGGCGCCAGCTTCACTCAGACTACTGTCCTGCTTGGTCACGGTGGCTGCTCACTGACTTCTGACCCCACTCAGGTGTTGCTCTTTCTCACGTCTCTGTCTTTATTCCCAGGGTAATTGTTTCTACTCCCATCCACATCCAAACCCCACCTGTCCTCTGAGGCTCTGGTGACTTCAGCCACGCCCACAAAACTTTACCAATGTTCTCAATCATTACACTCATTCAATCTATTTTATTGAGCGCCTACCATACGCCAGCACCTGCCGAGTTGTCTTTCCTTTCCTCTGGCCTCATCTACCAGCTTGCGTTAGACATCAGCTGCGTGCACTGCCCAGCAGCGGTCCCTCTGGCACACTGCGGTCTAGCCACAGGATCCAGTGTGTCCCGCCCCACACCCCCCCACACCCTGCCGCCACCACGCCTGTGTCATCCGCTGTATTATTAGTCAGGATAAGTAACACTAGCTGTTGTAACAAACAACCCCAAATGTCTCAGCGGCTAATCCCAATACAGATTCAGTTCTTGCTCGCGTGACAATCCGATATGGATCGTGTGGCTCTCCTCCAAGTGGTAACTTGGGGAGTCAGGCTCCCTCCATCTTGTGACCCACCACCTCCAGCACAGGCCGCCATGACTGCCATGGGAATGGAGCAGGCGGCACGGGAAAGGTGCTTTAGCTCCAGGTCTGGAAATGGTGCACGTCACTGCCAACCTCATGCCATTGGCCAGAACACAGGCATCTAGCCCCAGCTAACCGTGGGCAGACTTGGAAGCATCTTCCCGTGTGCCCAGGAACAGGATGGAGCCTACATGGCCGGATGAATAGCTGTCTCTGCCCCATAGCCAGCTGCACTGTGAGCTTCCCAAAGGCACTGACCCCACACGCACCTCCTCATGCTTCCCCAAATCTCCTCCAAACTGCCGGCAGGCTCCCCAGCACAAGCTCACACACGCATCACGCCCGGCGCAGTGTCCTGCGCCGGGTCAGCGCTCAGTGCTTACCAGCTGGCGGACTGAAGAGCGCCAGTCAAAACAGGCTGCCTGAAGGAGAAGGGCATGGGGGTTGGCACAGAGAGT